TGCATAAAGTGACAAGGGGGAAAATAGTGATTTACATAGGAGTGAAGATCAACGCAAATCTAGCACTAATCATCACCCAAACATCAAGATGATCAGGAATTAAAGTTGCGATTTACATCCAAGTGGAAATTTGGAGAGAAAGTGAGAGTTGGGTGAATAGAACTCACCCAAATGCATGAAATGACAAGGGGGAAAGTGGCGATTTACATACGAGTGAAGATCAAGGCAAATCTAACACTTATCATCACCCAACATCAAGATGATCCAGAACTAAAGTTGCGATTTACATCCAAGTCAAGGCAAATCTAGCAATAATCATCACCCAAACATCAAGATGGTCAAGAACTAAAGTTGCGATTTACATCCGAGTGAAAAATTGGAGAGAAAATGAGAGTTGAGTGAGTAGAACTCACCCAAATGCATGAAATGACAAGGGGGAAAGTGGCGATTTACATAGGAGTGAAGATCAAGGCAAATCTAACACTAATCATCACCCAAACATCAAGATGATCAAGAACTGAAGTTGCGATTTACGTCCAAATGGAAAATTGGAGAGAAATTCAGAGTTGGATAAGTAGAACTCACCCAAATGCGTGAAATGACAAGGGGGAAAGTGACGATTTACATAGGAGTGAAGATCAAGGCAAATCTAGCACTAATTATCACCAAGCATCAAGATGATCAAGAACTAAAGTTGCGTTTTACATCCAAGTGGAAAATTGCAGAGAAAGTGAGAGTTGGGTGAGTAGAACTCACCCAAATGCATGAAATGACAAGGGGGAAAGTGGCGATCTACATAGGAGTGAAGATCAAGGCTAATCTATCACTAATGATCACCCAAACATCAAGATGAAGAAGGAGAAGAAAAAAAAGAAGAAGAAGAAGAAGAGGGAGAGGAAGAAGAAGAAGAGGAAGAGGAAGAGGAAGAGGAAAGAGAAGAAGAGGAAAGAGAAGAAGAAGAAGAAGAAGAAGAAGAAGAAGAAGAAGGAGAGGAAGGAGAAGAAGAAGGAGGAGGAAGAAGAAGAGGGAGAGGAAGAGGGAGAAGAAGACGAGAAAGAGGAAGAAGAAGGGGAGGAAGAGGAGGAGGAAGAAGAAGAGGAAGAGGAAAAAGAAGAAGAAGAAGAAGAAGAAGAAGAAGGAGGAGGAGGAGGAGGAGGAGGAGGAGGAGGAGGAGGAGACCCTCCTCTCCCTTCTTGGTGTCGCGGGATGGAGTACCAATCTTGATGTAGACCTTCCTCTCCTCGCTCAACCACCCCTTTGGCTATGGCTTCCTTCCCCTCCAAACCCTTCTCCTCCTTCCTCTCTCACTCCCTCCCAAGTTGCCACAAGCTCCAACCACTATGGCTATGGAGTTATTCCCTTTAGGAGGGCTAATGAGACTCCCTCTAGCCTTTTTTTCTTCCTTACAGCCTGGGAGTTATGGCGGATCACCTTCCCCACTACCACTAGCCTATAGAGTCTTACACACTAGCTCACAGTCTCCTCTAAACTCCCAAACTGGCAGGGGTTCCCCTCACTTCACTCCAAGTGAGTGTAGTGCTCTCATGGGCCCATTTGGGCAGCATGGGCACTCCTCATGCAAATGGGAGTATGGCGGACTGAACTCCCAGCTTACGTAGGCCGAAACCAGCAGTCCGGCCAGCCCATGGGCCTCCCCATGTGCCCCATGGTGAACCGAGGTACCCCCATGGCCATTTTTTCACCACTAGGCCTCTCCGGGGGCACCTGGACCTCATTTTGGCCACGTTCATGCAGTCCGAGTGGTTGGTACCAACTCGGACTGCCCCTTGGGCCTCTTTTCCACCTCATGCCACTTGGAAAATGCTGCCCCCTTGAGTCCAAGGCCAAAGGGACAGCCTACTTGGGAGAAAGACTTTTTTCTCGACTTTTTCTGCTTTTGGCCTCCCTTGGGTAGGTCGGAGCATTTTTCCATGTGGCGACACATTTTCAGCTTTGGATCAGGCTGAGATCCAAGGCCAGCATTATTCCTAGCTACCCCATGATGGTCCTTGCTTCAAATTTGAGCCCCTAAGTCCAATTTTTAAATTTTTGGTGCATTTGGCCCTCCTTTTGGGCCAAATGCACGGTTTTGTTCCGAAGCTAGCCGTTTTGAGCTGGCCCACAAAAAACGGTTGTTTCTTCTCCACCATGAGATTTGATCTCAGATCTATGGTAAAATAGAAAACCGGTCATTTCTCCTTTGCATTTTCTCTTGTTGTCTTTTTAATTCAAATATTGTTGAAATATGGCCCTTTGGGCCATATCTCAACAATTCGGCCTACCCTCCCTCATTCTAGGAGGGATGAGGTCATCATTGGGACCTGCCAGTCCCTACTGCAGCAGTCCCAATAGGCCGGCACATTCTCCTCCACCCTTTTCTCCCGTTTTGTCTCATTCTCCCTCCATTTTCTCCCCTTTTTCTTTTTTTTTTCTTTTAATTTTGTTGTGACAAGTGTCAAACAACTGTGCATCCTTTTTCCAGGCCTTAGATCCCCAATCATGGCCAGGTTCATGGCCGACTGTTGGCCGTTACATCCCGGACTTCAAAAATGACCCTTGCATGTTCTTAGGGGGCTCCATTTTGCCGCCGTTTGTCCGATTTTAAGCCCCTTTTGCTCCAATTTTCCATGGGCAGCCTATTTTCTCATGTTGGCCTCTTGAGGCCTTATTATCACATGCCTAGCTAGTCCGAAATATCTCGGACTAATGGGCAGCCCTACCAACTCCTATTTTCCTTCTATTTTTACCACTAGGCCTCTCGTTTGGGCCCCACTAGTGTTTGCACTAGTGGTGCTAATATTTTCCACCGTCAAGATCTTTGATCTTGACGACGCCGTTGACTTCCCACAACCACTCTATACATTGGCCTGTGGTTATTTCCTTGGGACACCTCAAGTCCCCGCCACTTCCCCGTACTAGTCTTTTTTTTTTTTTTTTTTTTTTTTTTTAATTATTATGTTTTTGCCCCGCCCACGGTGCCGCCGGCGCGCGTCCCATTTTTCGATTTTTATTATTTGGGCCCACTTGGTCCCCAACAACTTCCCGGCCGGTGTCCCATTTTTATTTTGGAACCCCCTTGCCCCCAACAGTCCCAATATTTCTTCCTTGGGTGCCGCCCGCATGCCCATTTCCCTCGACTCTGGGATCTCATCTTGCGGTCACCATTTACCGCCCCAACTTTTCCTATGTCTGCGACACCATTTTCTAGCCCTTTGGGCATGCCGCGGCCCATTTCCCCTTGGTCTACGAATCCTCATGCAGTCCGCTATTTCTCGGACTGCATTCATGGTCATTTTCCTCGTCCTACAGCCCCGCAACTTGCCCCATGGTAAAAGAAAATGAAGCGTTTGATATTCAAGTGCATCCGGGCTCAATATTGGCTTCGGATTCACAAAAACCAAGTGTTTGGCCTCCCCCATGCAGTCCGTTATAACTCGGACTTCCATGGGGGCCAATTCCCTAGCCCCAATGCCCCACAATTAGCCCCAAATTGAAAGAAAAAGAAAAGGTCAACTCCCAAGTCCATACGGTCCTCATTTTGGTTCCCGGTGCACCTAAAAATTGTGTTTGACCTTTCCTATGTAATCTGTTATTTTCCGGTTGCATGGGGCTTTGATTTTTCTTGATTTTCTCTACAAAATCAAGAAAAACCCAAGATACTTTGTAACCGACATATGTCGGAATGAATCTGGTCACAAAAGCACCTCCTAGGTGACTGCTTTTGGTTGTTAGTGCCCTTTTGACTTTTCCCCTTTTCTTTTATTTTTCCTTCCTTTTTCTTTTCTGTTCTTTTCCTCCACTTGTGCACAATAGGGACTTGCCAGTCCCTACTTACTACAGTCCCAACTGACGGCCAACTCACTCATCTTTTGACACTTCCCATTTTTTTTTTATTTTTTTTTTCCTTTTTCTGTTTCTTTTTCCATTTGCATGCCAAGTGTCAACTAGCCGTTAAGGCCCTTTTCTAGGCTCTTCTTCTTAGTTTTGGCTCTTCCCATGCCCAAGGGTCAGTCCGTTATTTCTCGGACTGCGCTTTTGGCCTTCCCATGCCCATGAGAGCCTCTGTTTGCCTCTACCTCTTCCAAAAGGTAGACCCCCATACTCCGATTTTCCCCTTGGGCCTATTTTTCTCATGGAGCCCCCTTTTGGCTCCATTTTCTTGGGGGAGCCCAATCCGAGATTTTTTGGATTGCTCCTATGCCCTCACCTCCATGTTTTTCTTTGCTTTTCTTTTTCCTTTGGTCCTCCCGCTTGCTCCCACTAGCGCTTATGTTAGTGGCGCTAATATTCTTGGTCGTCAAGATCCTTGATCTCGACGGTGTATCCTGCTTTAATTATTCGTGCGTCACGGTATGCCACAATTTTCCCTTGGGCCGTCACCAGTCCCCACCACTTTCCCGCGTTGGTCCCCAACACTAGTCCCGCCAGTGGCCCCGCCTGTACTCGTCCCGCCGGTGGCCCCTCCGGTACTTGTCCCGCTAGTGGCACTCGACACTTTGTCCCGTCGGTGGTCCCCGACACTTTGTCCCTCTGGTGGTCCCCGACACTTTGTCCCGCCGGTGGTCCCCGACACTTTGTCCCGCCGGTGACCCCGGGTTCTTTTAACATTTTTCCGCCCTATGGCGGCCTCCTTCCCTTCGTCCCTCTCATGTCTCGTGCGCCGCTCTTCCCGGATGCGGGTTTTTGCTTGGCTTGTGGCCCCTTGGACTTTTTGACGTTGCGTCCCGATAGCCCTCTCGGCCCTGGCTAAGACTTTGCATGCCGACATCTCTCTTACTGTTTTCTCTTCCCTTTCTTCTCCCTTGGGGGCGCGCGCCCCATGACATTACTTTTTCCGGCGGTACTTCTCCTTTTCGGGGGGAACGGCCGCCTCTTCTATTTTCTTGCGGTCTTTTGCCGCTTGCCTTTCCGCTAATCTTCTTCATGGTCTCGTGGCCCCGACGATCCGGGCAACCTCCATATCCCCCTGTACCAGTACTTGAACACTTCCTATCCTTCTTGCCTCCGGTTTTCTCTGTCGTGCGCAGTTCTGGGGTATACCGCCTCTCAATGGGCAAGGCTTATCTCGGGACCCATCGGTCCCGACACCGGTTCATACTTAGTTGATCTTTCCTCCATGTGCATGTGCTTTTCACTAGTTCAACCTTCTCATTGTCAAGTTCATGTGTGTTGTAGTGTTCCAGTTTATACTTAGTTGATCTTTCCTCCATGTGCATGTGCTTTTCACTCGTTCAACCTTCTCATTGTCAAGTTCATGTGTGTTGTAGTGTTCCGGTTCGTACTTAGTTGATCTTTCCTCTATGTGCATGTGCTTTTCGCTAGTTCAATCTTCTCATTATCAAGTTCATGTATGTTATGATGTTCTGGTTCATACTTAGTTGATCTCTTCTCCATGTGCATGTGCTTTCACTAGTTCAATCTTCTCATTGTCAAGTTCGTGTGTGTTGTAGTTAGTTGATCTTTCCTCCGTGTGCATGTGCCTTTCACTAGTTCGAACTTCTCGTCGTCAAATTCATGTGTGGTGTAGTGTTCCGGTTCATCACTTGGTTGATCTTCCCTCTATGTGCATATGCTTTTCACTAGTCCAATCTTCTCATTGTCAAGTTCGTTTGTGTTATGATGTTCCGGTTCATACTTAGTTGATCTCTCCTTCATGTGCATGTGCTTTCACTAGTTAAATCTTGTCATTGTCAAGTTCATGTATGTTGTAGTTCGTTGATCTTTCCTCCATGTGCATGTGTCTTTCACTAGTTGAAACTTCTCCTTGTCAAATTCATGTGTGGTGTACTGTTCCCGTTCATCACTTGGTTGATCTTCTCTCTATGTGCATGTGTTTTTCACTAGTTCTAGCTTCTCATTGTCAAGATTATGTGTGTTGTGATGTTCCGGTTCGTACTTAATTGATCTTTCCACCATGTGCAGGTGCTTTCACTTGTTCAATCTTCTCATTATCAAGTTCACGTGTGTTGTAGTTAGTTGATCTTTCCTCCATGTGCACGTGTCTTTCACAAGTTCAAACTTCTCGTTGTCAAGCTCATGTGCGTTGTAGTATTCCGGTTCATCACTTGGTTGTTGTTTCCTCTACGTACATATGTTTTTCCATAGATCAATTTCCTCATTGTGAAGTTCATATGTGTTGTAGTATTCCGGTTCATACTTAGTTGATCTCTCCTCCATGTGCATGTGCTTTCAGTAGTTCAATCTTCTCATTGTCGAAGTTCATTTGTGTTGTGATGCTCCAGTTCATACTTAGYTGTGCTCTCCTACATGTGCACGTACCTTTCACTAGTTCAACCTTCTCATTGACGAGTTCATGTATGTTGAAGTGTTTCAATTCATACTTAATTGATCTTTCACTATGGGATGGGTGACCGACATTTGGC